CCCTCCTCTCTCAAGATAAATATTTTAAAAATAAGGAAAAGAAAAATAAAAAATTTAAAGATGAGGGAATCATTCTAGACTAAAACATACTAAAGAGACAATGCAATACCTATTTCTTGACTGGATTCAGATTTTTCTTAATTGGGGGAATTTGAACGTGGACTATATTATTAAGTAATTATTTTTTAATGTTTGTTTATTTTTGAGAGAGGGAATGTGAGTGGAGGATGTACAGAGAGAGGGGATGACAAAGGACCCATGCTGACAGCAGAGAGCCCGATACAAAGCTCGAACCCATGAACGAAGAGATATTGACCTGAGCCAAAGTCAGATACTTAACCAACTGAGCCACCCAGGCACCTGAATAATGACTGGGGGTGGGGGGGTTGGGGGGGTTTCTACACTAGGCATGGGGCTTGAACTCACAACCCTGAGTAAGACCTGAGCTGAGATCAAGAGTCAGATGCTCAACTGAATGAGCTACCCTGGCGCTTCTTAAATAATGATATTTTATCAATACTAAATTTCTTGTGTGATAACGGTATTATGGTTACCCTTACTCTTAAGACAAGGTGAATTCTAGGACAGAAAACTATAATTCTGTAACTCATTCTCAAATCCTTAAAAAAATATAAAGAGACAGAGATAATGCAAATTCAGCAAAATGTAAGCAGTGTATCTTGAAGTTTTTATAGAAGTTTTACGAGAGTTTTCTGTATTATTCTTTCAACATTTCTATAGGTTGGAAAATTTTCAAAATACTAAAAACTTGAGGGGGGAAATATCTCACGTGAACTGCTGCTATTCAAGGGTTCAGCAGACTTCCGGAGTGCCTGGGTGGCTCAGTCAGTTGAGCATCTGGCTTCAGTTTGAGTCATGACCTCACAGTTTGTAAGTTCGAGCCTCACGTCGGGCTCTGTGCTGTCAGCGTAGAACCTGCTTCGGGTCCTCTGTCCCCCTCTCTCTGCCCCTCCCCCACTCACACTCTCTCAAAAATAAACAAACACTAAATAAAGGCGGGGGAGGGGGGGATCAGCAGACTTCCAAAACTGCACATAGAGACTTGGGAGAAGGAAACTTAAACTGAGCACTTACTATAGGCCAAACACTCTTTAGGTCTGTGAGCTCGGTCAGCCCTGGGAGCAACCCTTTAGGGTAATTACTGCCTTACAGAGGAGAAAAGAGGCTCAGAGAGGTGGAGTGGTGAGTCCAATAGTGAGTCAGTGCTGGAGTTCAAAGACTCAGGACACGAGGCCATGCTCCCGCACCCCTTAACGTCTCTGCCGTGTCCTTCTCCCTCCCCTGCTTCTGTGTGTCCTCAATCCCAAACATACTGTAACCAGGGAATCTCAACGGATTTGAAATCTCTGTTCTGTAATATATTCAATATTCCACAACCACTAAACAATCAGACTGAACCACGCCTCTGCTCTTCACTGAAGACAGCTGGTGGAGACATACAGAAATAGGAAGAACAGCTCCCATTTCTATGGGCCATTCCACGTACGGACTAGAAGGGCCTCTCATAAGGGATCAACCACACAAAACAGAGTAACATGGGGAAAACACAAGGATATGAAGCAATAAATGTAATTTCTTTTTTTTAATGTTTTATTTATTTCTGAGAGAGAGAGAGAGACAGCATGAACAGGGGAGGGTCGGAGAGAGAGGGAGACACAGAATCCGAAGCAGGCTCCAGGCTCTGAGCTGGCTGTCAGCACAGAGCCTCATGCGGGGCTCGAACCCACGAACCGGGAGACCATGACCTGAGCCGAAGTCTGACGCTTAACCGACTGAGCCACCCAGGTGCCCCAATAAATGTAATTTCTAACTCCAACAGAGTGTCTGGAAGAAAGACTAAAAAGACTACCATTATGAAAAAAGCAAGTATGTCACTAATAACTAAAAGTCACAAAAGACATATTCTTTCAAATATGAAAGAAGTTACTCCAGAACAAATAACAGAACAACTTTAGTGGACTGGTCATCAACATGTGAAAGATCATACCCCCAGAAAACATTATAATAGGACTTGAAGAAAGATTTCTCGTTTGTGAATGAAGATTGAGAGTTTATGAATGCAGTAATAATAACACTACTATGTCAGGCACTGTTCTAAAATAACACCTGGGTGGCTCAGTTGGTGGATCATCCAACTTCGGCTCAGGTCATGATCTCACGATTCCTTAGTTCGAGCCCTGCATCAAGCCCTGTGCTGACAGCTCAGAGCCTGGAGACTGTTTCTGATTCTGTGTCTCCCTCCCCCTCTCCCTGACCCTGACCCTCTCCCTCTCTCTCTCTCAAAACTAAAACATTAAAAAAATTATTTTATTGGGGTGCCTGGTGGCTTAGTCAGTAAAGCGTCCAACTTTGGCTCGGTCATCATCTCATGGTTCGTGGGTTCAAGCCCCATGTCGGGCTCTGCACAGACAGTGTGGAGCCTGCTTGGGATTCTCTCTCTCCCTCTCTCTGCTCCTCCCCCACTGGAGCTTTCTCTCTCTCCCTCTCTCTCTAAATTAAAAAAAAAAACAAAAAACTTTAAAATAAGTTACTTTAATCCTCAGAGAAACCCTATGAGATAGGCACTAGTATTATTCCTATTCTGCAGATGGAGAAACTAAAGCCAAGAAGTGCAGTACTTGGGGGCACCTGGGCAGCTCTGTCAGTTAAGCAACCAACTCTCGATTTCAGCTCAAGTCATGATCTCGAGGTCTGTGGGATCAGACCCCGAGTCTGGCTTCATGCTGACACCGCCAAAGCCTGCTTGGGATTCTCTCTCTTTCTCTCTCCCCCCCTCCCCCACTCGTGCTCGCTTGTTCTCTCTCAAAATAAATAAAAATTTTTAAAAAGTTTAGTCACTTGTCCAAGATCACGCAGCTGTAAGTAGTGGGGCTACGATTCTAAGCCAGTAAGGATGGCTTTGGAGCCCACACCACTGCTCCACATTGCCTCTCAAAGGAAGAAGGGGTTGGCCATCACCTGTACCTTTCAAAACAAGAAGCTGAAGCCACAAAGCCAACCAACAAACTTTCTATGAAACAAATACTGACTCAGCCCCACAGGCATACTGTGTTCTTTCTTACAGACCAGGTTTGGAGGAATTATCCAAACTGTTCTTTCAATTCCACTCTGCTTTGACTGGAGCAAGAGGAAACAAAGTCGCTCAGGACTTGAAAACGAAATGGCAAGCAAACGCTAGAAGCTGGTCCACTTAAAAAGTGCGCATTTGCAGCGTACTGTTACACAATGACAGAATTTGGCATGGAGTTCAAATTTTCCCCACACTGCCGGTGTGTTCTGATGCAATCCCCTCCCTGCAGCTTTGGAAAGGAGGGCAAAGGAGCAGCAGAGCTGAAAACCCAACAGGTATGGCCAACCCCCATCAGAGGACCTTGGATCCCTTCCACATGTACAGAGAGGGCAGTTTCCAGAACCAAAGGACTCCGTGGGCACTACAATGGCTCCAATGGGCAAGCTCTTTAGTAACCTTCACAGCACTGGCAAACTAAAAGTCCTAGAAGAATCAGGGAATAAAGACATCCTTTAATCCCAGCCTGTGGGCATCCCTAACATGTAACGGTTCAGAAAAGCCCAGATTTTGAGGAGCCTCGGCATTTCAGGAAGCTAAGTGAGGCAAGGCAAGAAAGAAGGGCCCCTCCTTGCAGACACTCCCACACTCCAGAATTTCTGACGGTGAGAAAGCCAGAATCGGCCCGAGTTATTTCCCGTATTTTACAATCCAGACGTCTTCTTTCTGAATCATTCGCTCTGCTAACAGAAGCTGGTCTGGGGGACACACAACTTCTCTAAGTGCAATTCCTGTAACAGACCTATGCTGAGGAATAAAACAGTAAGAAACAATAAGTAGTGTTCTTCTGCCGAGGAAGGAAGTGAAATGCCGCTAGGCTGTGAAAAACCTACAGGTGTTTCAAGGAGGTGAGAGATGAAGTCCACATTGAAACCATTTTCTTCTTCCTCCGTCTAATCCTAACTAAATGTAAGCATGTGTGGCCAACCGGCGGAGTCACACACATCTGGGTTTAAATGCAGACCCGATCAGACACGTGATCTGGGGTATGTTACAGACCTTTAGTATCCACTCCTATGAAATGGCGGTTAATAGCCTGTATTTCACAGAGGTTGTAACGAGCATTACACAAGATAACAAACGTTCATTTGTCCCCAGCGTGACAGCACAGCCTCTGTAAACGCAAGGTACCGCTCACCCCAGCCCAGCCCAGCCCACCCCACCTTTGGATTTCAAACCCATTCATAGGCTTTATCATCCCCTGCTTCCTGACAGCATGAACACTGGTCCCCAAGGTCCCCTTAATGGAGTGTGATTTGGCTGAATCTGCGGCTGAAAAGCTAGAAGGGAGCCCTTTGGCCGAGAAAACCAAACTCTGGGAAGCAAGGACGGATCCTCAGCCAAAAGCTTGGTGGCGTCTGTTGTTTACGGTGATTCCCCATCCTATCACCGTGTTGAGAGGGTCCGAGGACATTTCAGACCCTCCACCGGCAGGGAAAGCGCCAAGGTGACGAAGAGGCGGGCAGCGGGGCCACCTCGCGAGGCTGAGGCTGCGGGAGAATGGGAATCCTGGTGGAGCCAGGGCCCCCCGGGGAGGGGACGACCGAGAACGATCGAGGTTCTCACCCCTGTCTCCTCAAGCAGGGGCCTTCGCAGCTCAAGGCTGGAGGCTTCTCAAGGGTCCCGCCACCGTCCCGACCAAGCTCAAGTGGGACCCGAGGGGTCCGCAGGCGGGAGGCAGGGGCCCCCGGGCGCCCCCGAGCCTCAGCTTGGGAGTGTGGTCAGAGAGGGGTCACCGGGGGAGGGGCCGGGCGGCGAGGACCTGGGGAGGGGCGGGGCCCGGGAGGGGGCAAGAGGTCGGGGCCCCCGGCTGGGGAAGCTCAAGGCCCCCGCCCAACTCCCAGCTGCACGCCGAGCGCCCCCTCCAGCCGGGGTCCCCGCCGCTACGGCGGGGCAGTCCCACTCCCCTTACCTGGCTCGGCTGCTCTGCCTGCTCCGAGGACGCCATCTTTCCGAGGCCTGACTAATCTATCGCCGCTGGGCGAGGCATCTCCCAAGCGCCCTCGCTCTCGCTCACCCGCCCAGACCAAAGTAGCCGGAGCTGAGCCTGTCGATGGGGGGGCTGGGGGGCGGGGAGGTGGGGGAACTCCCACGTCTGGGTCACCTCACACGATTGCCATTAGGTCCCTGCTGGCCAGGAAGATCCTAAGTACGTCTTTTTTGCAGTATTATATGAGTATTACTCTCAGTGAATTAAATCTCTGACCATCCCCACAGTGCCTCGGGCACAGGCCGGGACTTGCTAAGTCTTTAATAAATGAATGAACGGGAAGATCCTTGGAAATTAATTAATTAATGGTTCAGTTGAGTACCACTTGTTGAGAGCCTACTATTTACCAGGCACTTTGGTAGCCGCTGGTAATAAGAAGATCCAGGACTCAACTCCTGCTCCTAAATTCAGGCCAAACACGCACACACACACACAACCTCACACACACTCACAATTAGAGCATCTTGGAGACAGGAGTCTGATAACAGTTTGCAGATCTATTAGGAAAACACAGAACGGAGCTTTTTGCAGAGGAGAGACTTCTGCATTCTTACTTTATAGTGGTTGAGTTGTTAGATTTTAAGCTAAATGTAAACTTACACGAAAAGATTGCATATATTAGAACCATCAGTCAGTTCATATTGGATTGTGTTTTGACTGATTTTGAGTACTTAAAAGGGTTGCCTCAAGTAACAATTCCTCCTGCCAAACACTGTTTTAAATGCCTACCCTTTTCTAATGAGATATCTTATTTTCTCAGAAACAAAATATGAACGAGACTCTGGATGAACATGAGCTATTTCTTGTGTACAGAAAATGCCTGCCCCCCTTCAAGCGAGGAACGTTTTTACATTTTTTTTATTATTCTACTATTAAAGGTTTTTCAGAAGGGGGAAAGTAGCAGTATTAGGACAAGGATGAATTTATTGCCAAGCAGCATCTGGACAATCTCAAACAGTGATGTGGTTCGCATTTTCCCTTTCCCGTCTGATTTATTTGAGACCTTAATGTTTAATCTAGTTATGTAAGCATTTCGTTCCGAGAGCCCAACCCAATTTGCATGCACAGCTGAAGCCGGGCATCAAACTGGTGGAAATGTGTGAGTATCTTATCCTTTCAGCAGGGCTGAAAACTACACTCGTCAATTTTTTAAATCGACTTCCTTCAGATTATCCTGAGGGTTGAGATATCTTACAGATCTTTTCAGTTTGGAAAGGAAAACGAACACAGTAGAATGACAGACTTTCTTTGGAGTGTTAATGTTATGCATCCATATATGTAAATAAGAAAGTGCCCTAACAATCCAAGGGGTATATATGCGTGTCTTTCGTAATGCAAAATAAATCCATATTAACGTCATTTTGACCCCGCCACTGAAGCTCCTAAATGTAAGGTAGAAAAACACTCCTCTAGGCCGAACTGAGCGACGTAACGAAGTTAGCTTCCATCCCAGAAACTACAGCTCCCGGCATGCCCGCGGAGCCACAAGGGATTAGCGGCAACTAAAACTACACTTCCCGGCGTGCGTTGGTCCCAGCGTGATTTGCGGCAGAAAGAACCACATCTCCCGGCAAGCTGCGCGAGCGGGGAGGCGCCGCGCGGAGCCTCCCCGACTTCCCCGAGTCAGTCGAGTCCCACCCTGAAGAAGATGGAGCTGGTCGGGGGCGCCGAGACTGAGATCCGGGCTCTGAAGCCGTGTCTGCTGCGCCGCAACCACAGCCGCGAGCAGCATGGCGTGGCGGCCTCCTGCCTGGAGGAGCTGAGGAGCAAGGGTTGGCGCGGGACCCGGGCGGGGGCTGTGGGGGGCCGGGGCGAGGGCTGCGGGGGGCCGGGCCCGGTGAGGAGGTGGGGCAGGGCCAAAGCGGGGTCCGCGGGAGCGACTTGGGACGCAAATAACTCACGTGGGCACAGCGATGGACAAGTTTCGAGGCGATGATCTCGTGTGAGACCTGCTTGGTGGGAAGGTAGACGGGAAGAAATACGCAAATTGAAACCGAGTCGACTTAGGTGCCTTGCCTGGGAGCACTCAGACCTTGGAGCCGACCCAGCCCGGTGCCTGCCTGCCTCCCGGGCTTCCTACCGTGACGCTGGTGCCCACGGCCGAGTGCGATTGCCTTTCCCCCGGCACTGGGGCGGCATAGAGAGAGCTGGTGCCGATTGTTCTGGAGTTCCAGACAAGGAGCGGGTGCCGTGAGTGAGAGGAGAGTGACCGAAGTTCCGAGCCCGGCCCCACACTTACTAGCTGCCTGACCTTATACTTAACTGGCTCTCGGCCCTCAGTTTTCTCATCGGCAAAATGGGTATAGTATTTCCAGCCGTACTTTACAGGATTGCTGTATTTATACCACCTGAAAGTATTATGAGCCAGTAGTAATAAATTGTTTATCCACGGAAATTCTGCGGGTTAAACGTGTGAGTCATCCCCAATCATAGTGCGGCTCAGTGTTCAGTGCTTCCTCTGACAGTCACCAGGCCCCGAAAGATACAAGACAAATCTTTCGGAGACCCAGGAGCAGCCAAAGCATTATCAATGCTTTAGTGACGTGGTTTTTGCCATATCAGTGTTCACATATTTGTCCTTGGCATCGGGGTACTTACGTTTTCGTTCCCCTTGAATGCATCGGCTGGATACACTTGGCACAGAGCCTTATGTAAGCGCTTGTGTTCGGAGCTCAGCCTCTGCAAGGCCTGCTGTTCTACTGGGGTGCTGGGCGACATTGCCGAACCGTATTTGTAGTCTCTGCTTGGCCTCATCCCGTTCGCACTGTAGGCATCGCCGTCACCAAATGCGATGGGACACACCTGTCCCCGACAAGCCTGTTGCCCCTTGACGAGAAAGAGGAGAAGCTACTGATGCAAACAACTCCTCTTGTGCCTTCCTATAGGTTAGAAAGGCTGCAAATTACAATGCTGCGTGGGACCAAAAAAAACATTTCCTATTTTTACTATTCCTTTTTTTTTTTTTTTTAACATTTGACATGGGAGAATTTAAGATGACCACTGAATGAAAGACTGTTTGCTCGCAAGGAATCATCTCCGACTTTGGCTTGTTTTTCATCCATATAAAGATGCGAGTGCTCCTAACATGGGCGGAGAGCAGCCGGAGGAAACATTGTCAGGAGTCAGCCTGTGGGTTTAAATCTCGGCCTTGCCATTTACTGTGTGACCTCAGACAGGTCATTTAACCTCTCTGAGCCTTGAGGTTGACATCTGTAAAATGGGACTAGAATAGTACCTACCTTACAGGATGGTTAGAAGATTAAATACTGTATAAAGAAGGCACTTAGAACAGTACCAGGCGTGTGGGAAGTGTTACATTAGTGCCAGTAGTTGTGGTTACTGTAGTTACTGTTAACCTACCAGGAATTCTGAGAGCACATGTGTTGGGCATACAGGGACAGATGTAATTTCCTTATGGATACTTGTCAACTGCCGACTATGTTATTCCTCTCAGCCTGTGACATTCTGGCCATTGATAAGTCCCTGGCACCCATCACCCTGGTCCTGGCAGAGGATGGCACGATAGTGGATGACGATGATTACTTCCTGTGTCTGCCTTCTAATACTAAGTTTGTCGCATTGGCCAGCAATGAAAAGTGGGCATACAACAATTCAGGTAAGAAACTCTGGCCGTTTGCAGAATGATCTCTGCAAATACAATATCCCTCACCATTCATTGGCGGCACGGGCACCTGGTTGCTGTTTGGTTAAGCATTTGTGCAGCCAGAATTTGCCGAGACCCAAAAACTTAGTTGGTAGGATCCTGAGTATATGCATGACTGGGCGTTGGGTTTAAGTGACTTCTCAGAAAAAAGATGCAGAAGAGATTCCCACAGAAGTGACGGAAGGTGGAGGAGAGGAGAAACGTAGGTTCTAGATGGGGATTGGCGTTCCCGTGAATCCCGGAGAGAAGGCGCGCCCCTCCCCACTGAACTTACTCTGCATGAGCGGTGGGAAGAACGTTCGGATCTCCTCCAGGTCCGTGTGTTGGAGGAGGAGGCGAAAACGGCACATCAGGTTAACCGGGCTCTGCCTGGCTTTTTCTCCCCGTATCAGACGGAGGTACAGCTTGGATTTCCCAAGAGTCCTTTGAAGTAGACGAAACGGACAGTGGGGCGGGGCTGAGGTGGAGGAACGTGGCCAGGCAGCTGAAAGAAGATCTGTCCAGCATCATCCTCCTGTCCGAGGAAGACCTCCAGGTAAGCCTCCTCCTCCACCAGCCCCCGGCCCCTTACTTTTCATGTGTCTTGCCATAGTAATGCCAGTTTTCTTACTTTTTTTTCTTAATTAACCCCTTTTTTTTAATGTTTATTTTGAGAGAGAGAGACACACACACACACACATACACACCACGAGCGGGGGCGGGGGGGGGGGGGGGCAGAGAGAGACAGGGAGACAGAATCCGAAGCAGGCTCCAGGCTCCGAGTTGTCAGCACAGAGCCCAACACAGGGCTCGAACCCACGAACCGTGAGATCACGACCTGAGCTGAAGTCGGATGCTCAACCGACTGAGCCACCCAGGCGCCCCTATTTCTTAATTTTTAAACAATACTTTGACAACAACCAAGACTCTTCATTTTCTGATTCTTGCACCTAGAGCAGAAAATACAGATGCCCGGGCCCCACCTAGTCTCCCCGGGGGAGTTAAGGAGGTACCATCAAAGAATGTGGAGTCGGAGGAGCCGAATTAAATCCAGCTCCATCACTATGACTTTGAGCCTCTTTGCCTCCGTTTTCTGTCCAGTAAATTGGGACAAAAATAGTATTGTTGATTCAAAAATATTTATTGAGCATCTACCTTGTGCCTGGCATGGTTCCGTCCGGACACTACAGTGGTGAACATGACAGACATGGAATTCTGATAGAAGAAGCTTGATTTCTGATGAGAGGAAGATACAGCAGGAAGCATGTTATATGGGTAGCAGGTGGGGCAGTGTGCGGAGAGCAGGGGCTGGTCTAGATCGGGAGATCAGGAGAAGCCCCTTCTACAAGGTGGGTTTTTTGGTAATTTTTTGAACTTACAAACTTATATATTCGAATACAAATAAATACACGCAGGGGGTCCTGGGTGGCTCAGTCAGTCAATCATCCGACTTCAGCTCAGGTCATGATCTCATGGTCTATGAGTTCAAACAGTGCGTCGGGCTCTGTGCTGACAGCTCGGAGCCTGGAGCCTGCTTCAGATTCTGTGTCTCCCTCTCTCTCTCTACCCCTCCCCTGCTCGCACTCTGTCTCTCTCTGTCTCGAAAATAAAATAAAACATAAAAAATAAATAAAAAATATGTTCCTATGGTTCAGATCCAAGAGGTATAAAATGATATACTGGTAGCCAACAAAGGAAAATAACTCAGATGTCTGTGAACTGATGATCGATAAATAAGTGTGGTGTAGCCACACGACTTAAGAGGAGTGAAGGATCCGTACATGCTGTAACGTGGATAAGCCTTCAAAATGTTAGGCAAAGTGAAGAAGCCAGACGTGAAAGTCCACGGATTTTGTAGCTGCAAATCTGTAGAGATAGAAGCTAGGCGAGTGGCTGCCTAGGGCTGGGGTTGGGGAAGCCTTGAGGAGAAACAGGAGTGACTACTGAGGGGTGTCGTTCTTTTAGGGGGGCTGCCTGCACCAGTCTGTGAATGTACTAGAACCCACCTAGATCTATACTTTATATGGGTGCGTCATACGGTATGTGGGTTCTATCTCAATAAAGCTGTTTAGGGAAAAAAAATAAAAAGGACATACAGGAAAAATCTGACTCCGGCCCCTTAGCCACCAAGTTTCCCTTCCCAGAGATAATCAAGTTCTCCATTTCCCATTCTAGAGATGTTTCCTATACCTCCAAATGCAAACATATGTTCTCCTCCCCTACACTCCACAAATGGAAGCACATCTACTCTTTTTTAAAGAAACGTTTGGAGAATGTTACAGATTAGTACGTAAAAGACATTGCCGTTCCTGTTTGTACCTCTTGGTCGTAGTCCGTTTTGCTCGCGTGCCATGACTTAATTAGGAGCTCTTCCCCCACCCCCACCCCCACTGGTTGTCATCAGTCTTGGTGTTCCAGACAGTGCTGTCAGAAGCTCCGTGTCATTTTGCACGTGCATGCTTGTCCGTAGAATAAAGTCCCAGAAGTGCAGTTGGCGAACGCTGGCAGGTTCCCAAGAGGGGGCGATTACACTGAGAGCTGACAGAAGGAGGGAGCCTGCCGTGGCCGGGTCGGGGCCATGGTGTCTTGGAAGCGTTTTTAGGTTCCTTAAAGTCTCTGTGTTTGTGTGTTAGGTGCTCATTGATGCTCCGTGTTCGGACCTGGCTCAGGAACTAGGCCAGAGCTGCGCCACGGTCCTGGGGCTCCAGAACACCCTCCAGCAGGTGCTGGACCAGAGGGAGGAAGCCCGTCAGTCCAAGCAGCTCTTGGAGCTTTACCTCCAGGCTTTGGAGAAGGAGGGTAGCATCCTGTCAAAGCAGCAAGGTAGGAGTCACTGGCCGGGGGACTCACCTCGAGAACGGACGGCCTGGAGAGCCTTTCCTGGGCAGAGAGCCCGTGCTTATAGTGTGGCCAAAAAAGACACCGTGGCCCCTGGCATCTTGAAAGAGAGAGAGGGTGCATGCAAGCAGGGGAGGGGCAGAGAGAGGGAGAGAGAATCCCAAGCAGGCTCCACGCTGCCAGTGCAGAGCCTGATGCAGGGGTCGATCCCACGAACCCCGAGATCATGACCTGAGCCAAAATCAAGGGTCAGTCGCTTAACCGACTGAGCCAGCCGGGTGCCCGGGCGTGCTTCTCCCTTGCCTGCCTGATGATGCTCCGGTTGTTTGTGCAGAGCTATATGTTTGCCCAGTGTACCACCTCCTCCTCGTGTCCGCTTTGCAGAGTCCCAAACCGGCCAGGACCAGATGGATGCAGTCGACACGGGTGGTAACAGAGAGGGCTCCTCCGAAGTCACACTCCCGAGCCGGCTCCTTACTGCGCTGAAGGAGAAGCCTGCTCCAGAGCTGAGCCTGTCCAGTCAGGATTTGGAGGTGGGCGAGGACGGGGGACCCTGAGCTGCAGAGAGCCAGTCCCCCGGGGGTGCAGCGCCGCCCTGCAGAGGCGCGTCTGGGACCGCCTGTCGCCGCTGCAGGCCCGGGCTCCTCGCTGCCCCGTTGGCCTTTTCTGTGCCAGACATCTCACTTGATCTCTATCAGAATGGCTTGAACAAACGGGTGGACTCCCGCAGATCGTCACCCCTGATCCCCGGGTCCTTTGTGGGAAACAGAATGCGTGAACCGGACAGGGAGGAGCGGCGGGGCTCCGGCTTCTCTGGCGGCCCCTGAGGGAGATCCGTCGTGTCGTCCGTCGAGGCACATAAAGTATCTGAGTGAAAGGCGCGCCTGGGGGCCCATCTTGTGCCGGCTCCACGGCCAGGGAACTAGAAGCCTGACTCAGGACCCGTCCGAGTGGGCGCCGCTGCCTCCTCATCCTTGTCCTGTCCCAGGCACGTCCCCCGTGTAGCTAGAAGGCGGGCGACCTCTCCACTTGCCCCCGACCTAAACTGCCCCCAAGTGGAGGACTTTACAAGTGGCTCCCATAAAACGTCTTTCCAGAGGCCCTTTCCGGTCGGCATCGGAGGGGAAGGAAAGGCCCGTGGCCACGGAGGGTGAAAGGGTTCTGGCGTTTCAGCCAAAGACCCAACGTGCGCCGGTGCTGCCCGAACTCAGGCCCGTGAGGACAACCCTGGGAGCGAGACAGCAGCAGGCGAGGGAGCAGAGGTCGCGATCTCAGTGGCTCTCGTTCTCGCCGCAGTGGGTTGCCAAGGAAGACCCCGGAGCGCTGGCCGCCGCTTTGAGCTGGGACGTGGAGAAGACGGTGTCCGCACAGCAGGCCTGTCACCGGGAGCTCAGCCTGCGCCTCCAGCAGGTGCAGAGCCTGCGTTCCCTCCGGAGCCTGTCGGCCAGGAAGAGTTCGCGGCCCGGAGCGCGGCGGGAGCCTAAGCGAGCCAGACGAGACCCCACCTAGCCGCAGCCGGAGACCCCGTGACCTTGTTCTCAGTAAATACCTTCAGCCCGGTTACTGTAGCCGCTGCCTTAATACTGTACCCCCTGCCTGACGGCACATTCTGGAACAGGCTGGACGACCAGCCTCCAGAACCTTCCAGAAAAGTGCTGCCGCATCTCAGCTCACGCCCTTGCATTTTTTGAATGGCAAAGCTGTACCCCACCCCCTCTTACTAACTACCTGTTCTCAGGTTCTCTGTCGGAAAGTACCTGTCAAGGGCAGTGAAAAGAAACTTGTATTTCAGACTCACTGTCCTTTTTCAGAAACTACAACTGCAGAATTGAAAACACAGATGATGGTCAAGAAGGTGACGTACTAGAGTTGATCTGTGGCCACAAACTTGTTTCTCCAGTGAATGAATTTTTTGGTTTGTGTAAAGGCGCCTATTAAGTCTGCAGACCGTAGGGACATACGGAGAGTCTAATTCGCCATTTCTAATTGTGAAATTATTTCTGTTACCACTGTGAGACTGTTTCCAGTTTTCTAATATGTTTTGTCAGCGGGGGCTATGAAAGGTCATTAAATTGATCTCCGTGTGATATGACTGTGAGGCTCTCTGGGTGCCGGGCAGAGGCTTCTGGTTTATAGACCTCCTCTTTCTGCACAAACGCTTTCTCTGGGTTTTGTAATCTAATTTGGAGCAGATTTTCGTCCCTGTGAGTGTCCAGCATGACATTCAGAAGCCATGAAGCCCACGGGCCACATCTTCATTCTGTGGAATCGTCCGGGACACGGCACAGAGAACTGGCATCCCACCGCCTCCCCCCACCCGCTCGACGCCAGTGGCGATCTGCGGGCACAGAGGCAACTGAAAACATCCCCACACGTCTTCAGGATGCTCCTGGAGGGGCACTAATGCCAACCAGGGATTGTTCTAGCAGTTGCTCTGGGTTAGCACTTAGACACGGAGCCTCACAAAACTGAGTGAGCCGGTCAGGGCTCACTGTGACTTGTCCTCATACACAGAGCAAAGTTGTGCTCGGCGACGTTCAGAGATTTGTCCCGTGTCACATGGCTAATTGGAGGCCCAGGATCCAGGTTCTAATTCCAGTGCTCTTCCCGCTTTCATGTGTTTTCTCTTAGGTCCGATGCTCTTTTCTTTTTTTTTTTTTAATTTTTTTAATGTTTATTTTTGAGAGACCGAGCGCGAGTTGGGGAAGGGCAGAGAGAGGGGGACACAGAATCGGAAGCAGGCTCCAGGTTCTGAGCTGCCAGCCCAGCCCAATGCAGGGCTCTAATCCACAAACCACGAGATCATGACCTGAGCCAAAGTCAGACGCTTAACCGACTGAGCTACCCAGGTGCCCCTCACGCTCTTTTCGATTCTACATCCAGGTCACTGGTCATGTTAAACCTATGTAACAACTTGGAGCCAACTGGAACCAGAATAGACCTCCTGTGTCCACAGCATAATTGCCAGAAGACTCCTGACCACAGGCAGAGTGGCGGTGGTATGAGAATAGCCACATAAACCCCGTACAGCTAGCCCGGTGGTAAAGGAAGCCTGGATTCCCGGGGCAGAGTGGATCCCCGCCCCCCACACACCAATTCCAGCAACATCTCCGTCTCTGCCCTCCTGAATTAAAAATGTTTTCTTGCCCTAGGTCCCAGCGCAGAGCTTCGGTAGCTGGCCTGGGTGCTGGTGCGCTCTGGCACCCATCCACCAAGCGTCTCGGCCTCACAGGATGACGGGCAAAGTGCTGTGCGCTGAGTGAGCCAAGCCGCCAGGTGAAAGGGTTAAATGAAGAATGAGGAGGAGCCTAGGACCTACCACGTAGGAGACTACAGAGAGCAGGTCCCCTTCACCTCCCCAGGGGCAGGAGGGGGGCACGAGCGAAGACGGAGCTGTGAGGGGGCTCCCGTCGACTGGTCTGCGGGGCAAAGACCTGAGTCTGCACACTTGGACCCAGATGCGCAGCGCGCACGGCTGCAAACCCGTTACGTTGCCCCTGGTGCCACTTACCTTCCCTGCGTCGCTGTGCCGCCAGGCCTTCTAGAATAGAAACCTAGCAGCACAGCAATACGTCTAAAAATAGGAGAGAGAGGGCAGAGCAGCCCGTTCTTACGGGAGGAGAAAAGAATGTCAAAGGAAGCAGCTGGGACTAATGAACTCCGCATTAGCCAGATCCCATTCTTCCAACTCAAGTCAAATGTCGGTCCCCATTAGGCAATTGGCTTTGACAGGAGCTATGCTAATTACCACTTACCAACCTTTAATTTCTGGGGAAAAGCAAAAGGAAAAAAAACTAATGGGTTTTTCATTTTCCAGAGAGAAAGGGATAAAATAATAGTAGTCTGGGAAAAGAAAACCTGCATTAATTACAAAAATGATTAATGTGCCTTTTCTTTACTAACAAGATTGTTTAGCTGTTGCATTTCCTAATCATCCACTCAATTCATTCTTTTTTTTTTTTTGTCTTCAGGATTATTCTCCATTTTATTTTGTTTGTACGGCTTTGCCTTAAATGGTCTTGGCTGTGTCTTGTATTACTTGAAGTTTTTTTTTTTTTTTTTTTTTTTACAAATAGTTTATTGTCAAATTAGTTTCCACATAACACTCAGTGCTCATCCCCACAAGTGTTACTTGAAGTTTTTTAAAGACCTTGTAGGGGCGCCTGGATGGCTTAGTCGGTTAGGCGTCCGACTTTCGCTGAGGTCATGATCTCACGGTTCGTGGGTTCGAGCCCCGCGTCGGGCTCTGTGCTGTCAGCTCAGGGCCTGGAGCCTGTTTCAGAGTCTGTGTCTCCCTGCTCACGCTGTCTCCCTCTCTCGCCTAGAAATAAATAAAACATAAAAAAATAAAAATAAAATAAAAAAAAGACCTTGTAAATGATCTAGTCTGAATCCGCAGCCGCTGTTGCCTGAGTCCTCTGACCCTGGGGTTTTCCATCCTGCTCGAAGGCCTCCAAAGAGGGGGACAGACTGACTCTTAGGAAGTGCATTGAATTTTCGGTTTGCAGAACCTTCAAGTTCGCTATTTGCTCAGACTAAATCAGAACACACTTAGCAGTTACAAGGAAGTGAACAAACAGGTTAAAGCATAGATGCTGGATTTTCCTCTGCATTTCCCAGTACCATGTTCTGAGCGCTGTCACCAACACACACACACACACACCAAACTTAGCTTTTCCTCCAGTTTATAATTATTTTAATAAGACAAGAACATGTATTTTTTTATCATTTAACTAATTGTAAGTGGAAAAGATAAATTAGTGTTAATTTTATTAGGGTTATGACAAGCTAGAAGTAATGGGTAGCCCAGATGTCCTTTGCCACTACCTCTCTGAGAAATCTAGAAACCAAGAATTTTCTAATTTTTAAAAAAGTTTTTTTTAATGTTTATTTTTGAGAGAGAGAGAGAGAGTGTGTGTGTGTGTGTGTGTGTGTGTGAGAGAGAGAGAGAGAGAGAGAGCAGAGGAGGGACAGAGAGGGAGACAAAATCCAAAGCAGGCTCTGGGCTCTGAGCTGTCAGCACAGAGCCTGATATGGGACTCAGACCCATGGACTGTGAGATCATGACCTGAGCTAAAGACAAGACACTACTGACTGAGCCACCCAGGTGCCTTGAAAATTTTCTTTTTAATCCACACATGACTTTTCCTCTTCTAATTTGTTCAAAATGGAATGCAGGTGGCTCCTGGCTGGCTCAGAAGAGTATACAATTCTTGACCTTGGGGTCATGAGTTCAGGCCCCACATCGGGCATAAAGATTACCTAATAAATAATTTTTTTAAAAAATGGAATCCAGGGGCACCTGAGTGGCTCAGTCGGTTAAGCATCTGACTTCAGCTCAGGTCATAGTCTCGCAGTCAGCGAGTTCAAGCCCCACATCAGGTTCCGTGCTAACAGCTCAGAGCCTGGAGCCTGCTTCAGATTCTGTCTCTCTGTGTCTTTCAAAAATGAATAAACATTTAAAAAAATTTTTTAATAAAAAATGGAATCCATATTCACTGAAGAAGCTGCTATTAAGATGTGGGTGATCCCTTCAGCAGGGTGTTAAATCAAGTTATTTAAGGGTCTCCCATGAGCTTACTGATCTGAGTTTCCTAAGGCCAGGAAGGGTTTGCCATCAGCCCCAAAATAGGAATACTATTAAGGATTTGTGTCGAATGCTGTGTCACACTCAATTCTTCCTCAGCAGCTAAGGAGCCATTCTGGTGCCAAATATTAGAAATAAATGCAAGAGAATGAATGACAAGTTGCCCAGGTGCTGGTGAGCCCATCTAGACATTGAACTTGTCTATACTGAGGTACAAGGACGTATACTTTGAGAAATGTCTACCCAAAACCTGATGGTAGAAAATTATCCTAATTTACCCATTTTACCCTAATGTATTCATCATGAGCATATTAATCTAGTCTAACATGCAGTGGTTGCCAGTTAACATTAAGTCCCCTCAACTAAGGTAAGCTTAAACTTGATGGATTTCCTGCCAGGCCAATTAGTATAGCCTCATTATCCTTCAGATATTACTTAGTTCAGAGTTGTAAGTCCCCAGTCTTAAGGACTGTGGAGGTATGACCCCAATCGAAACTGAAAAACAATGAGCCTGCTTTCCTTCTAGAAAAATCTTAAAGACAAAGTTTTGAAGGTTAGCTGGCCTTTCAGGCCGGCATCTTCCACCAGTGCGCTGACCCAATTACTAGTCTCTTAAAGCTGCTATGTTTGGAAATGTGGATGCTATTAAGGCTCCTCCATCACATTGTACTTTACTCAGCTAGTAATTATGAATATGAGCTCAGCTCTGCAGAAAACAGAACGGAGCGGTCAGCACTCATACTCCCTGTCCGCTCCCCTGGCGTCCAGAGAAGAGATTACAGTGCTCCTCCCGCCAGCTTCTGCCGATTTGCCTCATATTAGGCCTGACCCTCAGAAACTTCCTGTAACTCCAGGTATGAATCTCGAAGCTTTAAAGTTTAGCATCTAAAAACCTCTGCCCCAGGGCACCTGGGTGGCTCAGTGGGTTGAGTGTCTGAAACTTTTGCTTTCAGCTCAGGTCGTGATCTCCCAGTCCGTGGGTTCAAGCCCGACATCAGGCTCTGACGGCTCAGAGCCTGGAGCCTGTTTGGGATTCTGTGTCTGTCCCTCTCTCTCTGCCCCTCCCCTACTCTCTCTCTCTCTCGCTCTCTCTCAAAAATAAACATTTAAAAAATATATTTAAGGGGTGCCTGGGTGGCTCAATCAGTTAAGTGTCGGGCTTCGGCCCAGGTCATGATCACATGGTTTAGGAGTTTGATCCCCACATCAGGCTTCAGGCTGACAAAGTGGAACCTGCTTGGGATTCTCTCTCTCTCCCTTGCTCTCTGCCCCTCCCACACACATGCTCACTCTCTCAAAATAAGTAAACTATAAAAATATTTAAAAATATATTTTAAAAATTGTTTTAAATCTTGGAAGTTTTCCTTAGAGTCTGTCATTCAAGAGCCACAAACAATATGCATAACAAGGATTTTGGTGCTATGGGAGAGAATTAGGATTTGATTAGGGTTTTGCAACTGAGTGATGTGTTCCCTCCTAATCTCATTGGAGCAGCCCGGAAT